AGCAGAGAGCTAAGCCACGCCCAGACTCTCAGCCCCAAATTCAGCTCCCCTTGGCTGACTTCGTTAACTATGTTTCTGCCAGTTAATGAATATACTCCGACAAGCACAGCACATAAGATGGGATTCAGCCAGTTCACCCCACTTCGGGAGAACCAGTTGTTAACTTTCTGAGCAGTTTGGCAAACTGGTTATTGGGAGAAATCATTCGGGCGGAGAACCAGTTGTTAAATTATTTGAATCCCACCACTGCGTAAGCCCGAGACAAAGATTAGTGTGATTTGGTAGGTAAGGTGTGTTCCCATGTCCCTCACTCAGCAGCTTTCTTGTAAGACAAAGATGGTGACAACTGTGAATTCATTTGCACAGATCTGGTTTCGCCATACAGAATTTGGATATTTGCTCTGAGATGCCAAAATATTTTTTAGAGGACCGAGTTACACATTACAAGATGAAGTAAATGTTGGCCTGAGGAGATTGTCTTGACTAGCCTAATAGGAAGCCTGCCTTGACTCCAAAAAGTTAGAGACCTGATTCATTCACCTTATTTATCAACTAAGTTCTGGGCAATGTATGAAAGGTTTGTTCTTTGTATGAGTAACCATCACATCCTTTTGTTTTGGATTTTATCTTTAATATGAAAGCACTAAAGCATAAGCAGGCTTGTCAGGACATTTCTTCCTTGCCTTTTCTTAGGGTGACATTGCTACCGGATTCTACAAAGCTGGCACTCTCCATTATTCAGCCTACCGCAACATCTTCCCTATTTTTGCATTGGCTCGTTTTACTCACCTTTATCCTGATAGTCCTCTTGTTAGGGAACATCTGAAGAATGGACCAAGGCATTCCACAGAGGACCAGACAATGAAGCACTGAATAAGATGCATCAACATTCCAGGAAAAGCCAGCTTTGCCCTTTACACCATCATAAGATGCTTATCTTTTAACATTTTTCCTTTTAACGTTTTTTTTAAAAAAATGCCGGGTTAGTAGACTGAAGTATTCACATTTTTCAATTATTTTTTTTTGCAAGCGTCATTTTCTCATTGCCATCATGTCAAGTAATAAGGAGAGCCAAGAGAGTCTGCCCTTTTGTGGAAGCAGCGGTGCAAAATACAGTACTTTTATATTACAGTGAGTTTTGGCTGATGGCCAAACAGTCAACCTCGTTGTCTGAAAATTTGCTCCTCCCGATTGCCACCCCACAGGAAGATTGGGGGAGGTTTTCTGCTAGTGGTTTTGGGGGCGGAGGGGAGACAAGAGGGCAAGAACGTTGAGTAATGCATCCATATTTGTTCTTGAAGTGGCATAAATAAGGATAAAACAAGTTTCTAATACCCTGTTTATATCAGGGTGGGTACTGCCAATGACGAAAACAAATTTCATAGTAATAGTTTCCTGCCAGCTCTAAAACTGTTAGGTAGAACATTGACTTGGCCGTGAAAATTATCCCAAGGGATGCTGGCTGCTGGTAAAGGACAGGGAATTAGAGAGAAACACAGAGGCAATGGAACTGAAGTCTAAAACAAATGACAGGTATCAAATTTAGGGAGGCTGGAGTGAAGATATATAAGGCATATATATTCTTATATTGTAATGCAGTTTGGGTCCTACTCAATGTCTTCTGGAGATCTTCCAGAACCCAACATATAGTTTGCCAGAATCCTATTATGTACATAAGATAAAGATATACGAGATATAAGATAAAGTACAAATGCAATAATATAATAAATAAAACTGACAAAGAAAGAATTATGTATGTGTGCATGCAACATACTACACATTCTCTTTGTCACAAACCCACACAAATAGTAGCATTTCTTTGATTCCAGCTGAAAATTGCTTTTTGAATTGAATAGGGCTTTGGGAAATTATACTGTATGAATTACTGTTGGATATTTAATTTAATTTGGAGAGTGATACACTCACACAAAGATGAAGGTGATATGAGTGAGATAATTCAGGATCTGCTTTTGGTCTTGGTATGCCTGTATAGCTTATTCTTCGTAAGTTGCCCAGAATTGCCTTATTGGGAGAGGGATGGCATATAAATGTAATAATGATGATGATAATGATAATAATAATGATAATAATAGTTTTTTCTATTAGCTGATTCATATATTATCTGTGGGGAAGGGTGTTTTACATATTCAAGTAGGTGTAGCTTGCATTTGAAAAATATTTCTTACTTGTGTTTATGTACTGTATATAATTAAACATTAAATGGAGATAGCTTAAAAGTGTAATGAGTTATAATTTTTTCACCTCAGGTCAGACCAAGAAAGGGTGTTAGCCAAGGGATCTTTTGCTCCGGAAATTTTTATATCCATGGAGTTTATGCTGCAATTGTCATATTCTGATACTAGAATGAAGATCACAGAATTTTCTTTTTGAGTTGACATGCACAAGTTAGTTTGCCATTTGAATAAAATTAAAATGTTTACAATCATCATTTTCTTCCAATAAATACATTCTAATTTAAGTATATGATAGTGGAGTTTTATGTTCTCTGTTTCCTGACAAGTTGGTGAAAAGTTCCAGCTGCCTGGGCTTGATTTTCTTGGGGAAGGAGTCACTGGAGAATTATGACGTTTTTAAAATGAATTACAAATGTTATAGAATATAAACGGAAGCAAAAGAGATATTCCATATACTAAAGATCTAAACAGAAACCTTGCACATCAAAGTCCCTAAATTATCAAACAAATAACAGGTTTCTTTTTATATCTAATTCTAGGTAGCACAAAATGTGTCTTCTCTACACAATGCTATACCTGTTCCCTTCTTGGAATAACAATAGCTATCTCATTCAAATCAAGAGAGCAAGATTCTTAATTGGCTTCTAACCCACATAAGAAGCTGTGGCAATTCAGCTGTTACTGAACTCTTAGCATCACCTATGGACATACTGGCTGGTATGGCTACTGGATAGTGTAGTTCTTTCTATGAGGGCTGCAGATTCTCTATCCCTGTTCTACATTTTAACTCCTTTTCCACATCAATGACCTGTAATCTGCTAAACAATGGAAACTGCAATGGTATTCATTACATTACTATTAGAATAGCTTCAAGTAGATACCAAAGAGATAAACAGGGTGGATCTGCTTAGCACTTAGACTGAAGGGCCACTAGGAAATATAGGAGCCATTAGCTAGACTGGGAAGTCAAAAGTACTCTTGGAAGAAGACAGGTCAATCACTTCTATGATGTGGTTAGGAAAACAACATAGATATTAGAAGTCAGGCTCAGTTTGAAGGAGCGTTAGTTACCTGGAGGCATAAATGGGACTGCAGCATAAATCAGAAATCTTCAGACATTTTTGTCTAAAGGTATGTTAAACAGCTGTGGTGGCACAGTGCAGTACTGCAGGCTAATTCTGCTGACTGCCAGCAGTTTGATCCTGACCAGCTTAAAGTTGACTCAGCCTTTCATCCTTCCGAGGTTGATAAAATGAGGACCCAGATAGTTGGGGGCAATATGCTGACTCTTTAAACCGCTTAGAGTGGGCTGTGAAGCAGTATATAAGTCTAAGTGCTTTTCCTATTGCTAAAGAACCAATTTTCATCTGCCGTTCAAAATCAGTCTTAAGATGGAGGCTGTGGTACAGTATCAGCACTGTGTAAAGTACAGATTCCCTGGCTTAAACATTTCACTTATTTTTCATAATTTCTTTGTTCTTTCCCCTCTTTTCTCTGACATCTTGTCTGACTCCTGTAAGAATTTGCTTAGGTTTAAAAACTTGTACACTAATTTTGCTTCAATGCAAATGAAGATCATGCACAAGCACTTCTATATGCACAAGATTCAACGCACCCATATTTTTGAATGTATTATTTTTTTTTAAAAAAGACACACAGAGAGAAAGAACAGCCATTTCTGAAGATCACCATAACTCTGGTTTCTCCAAAGGTACATTAGGTATTTGAGTCTGTAGAAAGCATTATGGCTCCCAAACACATAGTTTCTTTCTGCCTAATGAAGAGAGTTTAACTATTAGGGTAGTAGATAAATGAAGAGATAGCAGCAGGTCAAAAAGAGAATGAACGTTCACTTAGCCTGGCTCGATTAAAATCACATTTCATGGTCTCAAAAAGCAGCTTCACCAGTTCGGTCTTCCCTCGAGCCAGCATAGCTTTGGAAAGTTCAAGCACCTCACTGGTGTGATGCCGACAGACCAGTCGAAGTTCCTGCTGCACTTGCTGGTTCGGATATTTCTCTTCCGCCTTCTTCACCCACAGCTCTACCTCCTTCATTAGCATCTCCATGTTGATCCTCTTCTGAGCATACAGGGTAAGCAGCAGCTCCATTAAGCACCGGAAGCTCTCTCTGTGCGTGGAACCCACATCGTCCAGCTCTATGGCCTGCTTGAAGCACTCCATAGCTTCCAGCATCTCGTTTTTCATCCAAAGGCATTTCCCTTTCAGCACCTGGAGTTCAGACGAGACGTTTCCCAGGTCTAATTCCATGGCTTTAGCAAAGAGTATAAGGGCTTTGTTGAGGGCGTTTTCATCCACAAGGAAAAGCTCCTGCATAGCATCTACTCCCAGGTAGTAATACACCTAGAAATTTAAAAAATGGGACAAAAAAAACCCCCAAGGTCATACATGTTTAAAAAGCATCATCTTTTTATCTAAAGAATCAAGAACTCCTCAGGGTGTGAAAAACCACAATTTTAAACTTCAATGCTTTAAGAAATGTTTTTTCCCCTGTAGCTATGATCGATCATGAAATATTTTACAAGGAGGAGTATCTTGAATCTCAAAGTTTAACAACTTTAGCATCAGTCTGCAGAGATGAAGTATCAGAGTAAGTATCAGCATGCAGAAAGTCCTGGTATATTCCTTCTATTACAAAAAGGACTGTTTCTCTTCTTTTCTTTTTCTTGTTTCTTTGGTCAACATATCATGAATTTAATGATACCACCAGTGGTGGAATTCAATTTTTTTTACTATTGGTTCTGTGGACGTGGCTTGGTGGGCAGGGCTTGGCTTGGTGGGAGTGGCTTGGTGGATGTGGCAGGAGAAGGATACTGTAAAATCTCCATTCCCACCCCACTCCTGGGAGAAGGTTACTGCAAAATCCCCATTCCCTCCCCATCCCACTAATCTGCTTTCCAGCTCCGTTCTCCTATGCAGGGCAAAGAACAAGGATCATGCAGATCCTGCTGGATCTCTGTTAAATAGAGACTCGGGCCATGTGGTTAGGCAAGTTCTGCTGGTTAATGTGGTTAGGTTATTCTTATGAGCTGGATTGTATTCAAGGCCTCCAGTGCTGGGTTTGGTTATCTGCAGTAGTGGTTTTAACCTTGGAACGCAATCTGGAGTCACTTTTGGGGAATGAATGCCCTTACTATTATTACTACTGTACTATTATTGAAAAAAAAACCTAATTTTTAAAATTAAGCAGCACATAGGAAACAAAAGAGACCTTAAGAATTTGGGGTGACTTATCTCACTATCCGTCATTTTTTGTAAGACTATCTCTAAATTTTATGTTCTTCTGCGAGGGCTTTCCAAGAATAAATGAAGGCGAGGAACATCCCAGCTGTTAACCCCTCTACCAGAATGGCTCACCTAACACCTTCCTTAGGACTCTTCACAGCATCAGGTGGAAATATGTATCTAAATCAAAACTTAACTGGATTGTATGTATATGTAAAGTGTATGCATATGTGTATGTGTACGTCTACGTGTATGTATATCTATATGTAGTAGAACTTTTAAATCAACACAGCTATGCTTTAAATACAGTACTAGTGTGGTCTTTTCAATCTGTTTTTTTTCCTATTAAAAATATGCTGAATTGCTGTTATTTTGTGCTGGTTTTAATTATTGCAAGTTGAATTTTTAAAATTACAGCTATGCTGTTTTTCTCAGACTTTGAATATTTTGTGCTCTGTGTGTGTGTGTGAAGAGCGGTCAAAGTGACATAAGCAACATTGAATCATTTTGGTGGTACAGGGCCCCCTCACTCAGCAAGGATCTGAGTATCCGATGTGACATACTAAGTGGCTGTGGATACTGCTATTCTTGATTGGCTGTATCAGTTTAATAAATCCATGAACGGATATTTTTTTAAATGGAAGCAAATTAATTTTGAACAAATAAACAAAAACAATTCTTTAGCTCTGTACTGTAGTTTGCTGAATAATAACATTTTATTATCTGATTAGGCTTCTAATCTACCATCATCAGACTTCAAGGATGGCCTTTTAAAAGGGGTTCCTACATCATTGTTTTCTCTCTGTACATCTCACCTCCCTTTCAATCAATCCTTCTGCCTCTTTTTGTCAGGAAAAAAAAACACAAATGGAATAGCTACCCAAAGCCTTTGGTTTAATACCCAAAGTAGTTTAGTGTTCTCTATCTGGAAGTTCCTGAAAATAGTGAACTCAATGAAAATATATGGACAGCCATGGATGATTTCACTTACCTGGCCAAGATCAAGGTAAGTTTTCAGGCAGGGGTGGACTTTGATGACTTTTTCAAGATCAACTTTGGCCCCCAAAAGGTTGCTCTGGTCTGGCATTTCAGCCAAGCCTATCTTCACACGTTCCACGTCCCGTAAGTACAGTTTAATCAGCATCTAAAGATAAATGTATAGCGCTCCGTTGACTTGATTTGGTTTGATCACTGCTAAAACCTTGGGGAACTGCTGAAAGAGAGAAATTGTGGCCCCATATGCCTTTCTCTGCTTTTGAGCCTCCTAGAAGGGAGCAGAGGGGGTGTGATCTGTCTAAGGCAATGCTTTTCAAACTTGTGTGGACTTCAACTCCCAGAATTCCCCAGAAGCATAACTGGTTCTGGGAGTTGAAGTCCACACGTTTTAAATTTGCCAACGTTGAGAAACATTGGCCTAAGGAAAAGATGGCAACTAAGACATTCACCTAGAAAATAAGAGGTGGCAAGCTATCTAACAATTGTATACCAAGGCAGGAGGCTTGGGTTGAAAACCTAGAGGTTTCTAGATTTTGAAACCTTCAAACTTTCAATGTGTTGGTCAAATTGTCTGCTATAATGCCAATGTCATATAATGTTGTGTATACAGCTAAATGTATATAACCTTTTGCCTTAAAAAAATATATGTTCAATTGTGTCCAATCAGTTTGGTGTCATAAAATAATTTTTAAAAGAAATTGGATCCTTTGGAAATCCTATCATTTATTAGTGTAGGACTGCACTAATAAAATAAACTTTAACTTTAATCATCTGTACAAAAATATTCCCAAGTGTTTGCTATGTGACCAAGCAAATTGTTTTAAGGATGAGTTACCTACCTTAGCACGCATACAATATGCCTGCCAGTTAAGTCCTGGATCAGGGATTACATCCAGAGCCATGTTGCAAACTGCCATTGCCATCTCTAGCTTGCCAAGGAAATGGAAGATTTTTGACAGGCGGTTGAGAACAGGCGGATTATCTCTAGCAACCTCTATTGCCTTAAAAGCAAATATATTTTTCTCCATTAATCATCAGTTGTCATGAACAATGATCAGTTACATTCATAAATTGGACAAAGGTTAAAAGGTGGAGCTCTTTGGCCCCTTGTGTTAGGTGGCAAATGAGTAAAAGAAAGAATTTATCTACTATGTTAATTTTTGTTGTTACTGTAAAAGCCCAGTTTCTCATTTTGACTTCATGTCCAAGAAAGTTGTTGAATTCAGCAATCATTTTCACAATCACCCCCACCTGAATGCTGCATTAAATTGCATCTTCCATAATCATCAGCCAGGTGATTGGGCTGAGAGGGTTTGTAGTCCAAGACATATAAAGTCTTCCCAGCTGTCTGCCAAGACATTTTAATGACAATTTGGACATGCCCTTATCTTTAATTCATGGCTGAAAAAAAATACTTGATTAGTTCCTTAGAACATCGGTGTCAAACTCATGGCCCGTGGGCCAGATGCATCACATGCTGGCCATACCCACTCCTGGTTTAGCGAAGGGGAAAAAGTTGCAATACATCATGTGACAACAATATGACACCATAACTTTGACACCTGCCCTAGAAGGAACTGAAGATTTAGCAAAGCAATAGAATAGCAATAGCACTTAGACCTATATATTGCTTCACAGTGCTTTACAGCCCTCTCTAAGCAATTTATAGAGTCAGCACATTGCCCCCAACAATCTGGGCCCTCATTTTACCGACCTTGAAAGGAGGGAAGGCTGAGTCAACCTTGAGTTGATGAGAATCGAACTGCTGGCAGTCAGCAGAATTAGTCTGCAATACTGCATTCTAACCACTGTGCCGCCACAAAGATAAGGCATATTCAATTATTTAGACTTGGCTAATAATTAAAGCTTTAGGAATATTCCTCATATCAGTGAGCTAGTATTACAGTAGAATTTAAGCAGATGAGCAACATCCCTCCTCTTCCTCCTTTGTAGTTGTGAAACTTGAAAGAAGCTTTTTGCTTCTCTTGCTTGCATACAAAGGTGAAGATGGAACCAATAAAATCATCTTTTCATTATAGTCCTGAAGTATTTGTTCTGGGCACATCCTTGTTTTAAGTTACTCTTTCCTATGTAGAAAAAGGAATGGGGTGTAGTTTGTGTTGCCCCCACATTTCTGTGTGGACTGAACTTGTCCCCACATCAATACCCCAAATTTCCTATCTTAAAAATAAGATTTGAAGTATAGTCAACACCCCTTGAAGAAAGCTGCATGAATGGGATTGTGATCAAGCAAAATTTCCTGTTCAGCATTCTGCAGACATTCGTGCAAATGGCTGAGCTTGTGCTATCCAATGCAACCTGCTGGGAGGCTGAGGTTGCTAGCATAGAGATGGATGAACACAGCTCGGGTTAGATTATCAACACAACCACAATTCTTTGCACCTGCTTCCAACTAGCCAATCAGCAAGCTCCCTTGCTATGCATTTCCTCTTCCCCTTGCAATGTGGTTTAGGAGTGTGTGTGTGTGTGTGCTCGATTTAGGATTGGGAAGGGAAGGATATGCCTCTCTCATGATATTGAGAGAAGCAATCAACTTTGAATCCCACCATCACTTGTAAAAGAGAGGAAAATGGAGAAGAAAGATATAGTCCTAGTTCTGTGTTATGCAGTAGGAAGAACATTAAACAAAGAAGCATTGATATATTATGAGCCATGGTGACACAGTGGTTAGAATGCAGTATTGCAGGCTAACTCTGCCCACTGCCATGAGTTCCATCCTCATAGAGTCAAGGTTGACTCAGCCTTTTGAGGTCAATTGTTGGGGGCAATATGCTGACTCTGTAAACTGCTTAGAGAGGGCTGTAAAGCACTATGAAGCGGTATATAAGTCTAAGTACTATTGAAATATTTTTTTTAACTTTTTTGGGGGGAAAACTGGGTGTCATTCCCATCTTTGTCTTTTTGTAATGATTAATTATAACAGCCTACCTTTCCAAAGCAATCCAGGGGATCGGTTCCAGCATAACCACAGTCATTAATGCCCAGGGGAGTAGTTGAGAAAGAATATTTCCTTTCTAGTAGCATCCCAAGATAGCACCAGGCTAAGGCTAGAGAAAAAGGAGGAGATCATTCCATTCAAAAATAAAGGGGAAGTTTCTGCCTTATTTTTAAACTTAAATTTTTACTTATTAATTGGAGACAGCCCCTGGTATAGGTCCGTGATGGCAAACCTATCACAAGTACCACACAGAGCCATTTGTGCTGGCATGCGAGTCACAGGCAAACTTACCTCACTGCGCATGTGCGCGCCTCACAGCTGATTTTTTTTATTGGTTTGAGGCCTTTTTTGGCGTCCCAGAGGCTTGGAAAAAGCCTCTGCAAGGCTTTTCAGGGTGAATTATAGGCCCATTTCATCACTTCCTGTAATACCGGAAGTGATGAAACAGGCCTATAATTTGGCCTGCAAAAAAATAAGCTGTGAGGTGCAGTGCAGGTAAGGGCATGGGGGGTGGGGATTGTGTGCGCATGCACAGGGGGCGTGGGGAGAGGGGTGCACATTGCATTCTGGGTGCTGGCACATGAGTGCATGCGTGCTGGCACGTGCACAATTTTTGGCACAGGAGCCCAAAAAGATTAGCCACCACTGGTATAGGTATAGAAAGGGTTTTCCACATCAGAAAATGCTGGTGCGTTCTACCTAAGCTGGTTTAGTCCTTGTTAATATCTGGATGGGGAACCATCAGGGCAATATAGACCTATAGGCTAAACTGTGAAATTGAGAAGGTACCCTGCCTGGAGGATAATTTCAAACTACTTATATAATGCTGCCAAGATAGTGACTTGATGGACAGGGATATGTCCATCAAGTCACCAAGAATTGAGTTCACTCATGGGAGTTGTGCCTTAGACCATTCTTCTTTCCTTCTCTGCTTCTGAACATCTAAAGCTGATGGAAAGTAGAAATCAGCTTACATTTGTTGCAGCTCACATTATGTAAATAATTGCAATAAGTAAATGCCCACAGACAGTACTTACATATTCATTGTTCTGTTTATATCGCTCTGCATTTAAAAAAAATATTTGTATGCCTGCATATATTATTCTAATCAATAGATGCCTGGACTGTCCGTTTCCCCCAATGAAAAAAACCCCAGGTATAGCAACAGAAATACTACCCTGTTTCTCCAACAATACGGCCTCCCTCAATAGGAAGTCCCAGCATGTTTTATACTCATGAAATGAAATTAAGCCCCTCCCCCCAAATTAAGGCCTATATTAAAACATGCGAAATGGGGGGGAATGGTGGCGGGGCTTGCCGTTAGGAAGTACTTTTGTTGCACACCCGGATATGGTGCTGCCTGCGTTGACCCCGATACGAAGTGCCCCACCAACGCCGAGGTCAACATCCAAGCCGTCACCGCCCGCCTGAAGATGCAAGGGGGGGGGGAATTAAATCATCCCCGAAAAGACGGCCTAGCCATTTTTTCGGTGCTCAAAAAAAAATAAGACCCAGCCTTATTATATGAGAAACACGGTAGAAGAGTACAGAATGCTCTTTCGAATCCATGACATGATCGAGACTAAAGCACCTGAGTATGCAGAAGTGATTGCAATCAACCTGGAGGTAACCCTTCTGATAATGCGTGTGAATTAAGGAGAAACTTCCTAACAGTGAGAACAATTAACTAATGGAACAGGTTGCCATAAGAGGTTGTGGGTGCTTCATCACTGGAAGTCTTTAAGAAGAGACTGGGGAGTCATTTGCCTGAAATGGTAGAGGGTCTCCTCCTGTTTGAGAAGGTGGTTGGTTTAGAAGACGTCCAAGGTTTTTTCCAGCTCTGTTCTAATTGATTGACTGATTGAAATTGAGCTGGTAAGAAAATGGAATTGTGTATGTATATTTGTATAGGCATTTGTGCATTTGAGCATTATAGGAAATGAACCATATTGGTCCTGTCAGCTTTGGAAACCTTATTCATCGCTGCCACATAGCTTGAGAAAGTGGGAGGGGGGTGATTTTAATTGAGTAGCTCTAAGTAGACAAAATAGAATTCTTTTGTTAGTTCATGGAGGAACAAAAAGGAACTTTCTTTGGGATTGGTTCATGTGATACGATGATGAGGGAAAAGGAGATGGATTGTAGTTTGGGACATTGTGGGAAGTCTGGGGAACTTTTAGTTTTGAGATTTCACAGATGTGTCAGGTGCTATTCTAATAAAGGTACTTCTGAGATTATGCTTGTCTCGGAGTTACTGATTGGAATGGAGGTTCCCTGGAATGCTGACATTATCTCGAAACTATGACAGGTCCATGGCAACAACCAATCTGTCTTTCCTGTCTTCTCCTTCTCTATCTCAATTTAAAAACCTACATCAATTGAGAAACTCTATGGCTATGATCAAGTGAGTTGTAGCACACAAGCTTATGCTTTGTCAAATTGTTAATCAGAAAAGATGCTACCAGATTTTGGGCGTGTATATGTGTGTGCAAGCAAATACATGCATTCTGGCAGTGGTATCCCGATGTTCTGACCTGGCTTGATCCTTGCTATATAGCATTTGCAGGCTATGATCAATGAATCATTTCTCCTACCTCTGTAGTGTAGATTAGATGACTTCAGTACTTGTTGAAGCAAAACCAGAGTTCTGTTGAAAGCTGTCAGTCTCTTCTTCTCATCCTCACCTTTGTTCATCCACACCCCATCTAGTCTGAAGCAAAAAAGAGGAACTAATATCATTCATACATACAGATGTGTACGTGCAGGATTTGCTAAACTGATTGGCAACATACTTTTTAAAAAATCCTATATAATTAATTTTTTAAAAAAATCAAATGTTGGAAATACTTCTTTGAATCCCGTTCTTTCCACCCTCTTCTGTGATACTTCTAGAGGATGATGTGGCCCAGAGGAAGTTTGTTGTATCATTGTGAATTAGCCACCTCTGTTATTTTTTTTATTCATTCTTTTAATTTGATAATGGGAAGTTGCCAAAGTATTCCCAGAGAGGTAAGTTGGTATAAAGTAATCAGATATAAAAAGCATTCAGACAAACCACCTTGCCTCATTCAAATCATTACTTCCACCCCTTGGTTTAAAATCAATATTGCTCATCACTTGCCATGGAAGCCAGTTGTGTACTTGGTCTGATATGGATATTGAGATTGGCTGTCTGTGTGCTGGGTTCAAATTACCCACAGCAATTTTCCAACAAACAACACTGCCTTAATGTACATGCTAACTCTCAAGAAGTCTCTGGGTAATTTGTTGTTTCTACTAGTACATCTAGGGCATGGGCGTCAAATTCGCGGCGTCACGTTGCCGTCACGTGACGTTTCGTGACTTTTTCACATTCGCGGAGCTGGGGTGGGTGTGGCCTGCATGTGATGCATCCGGCACGCGGGCTGCCAGTTTGACACCCCTGATCTAAGAAATTACTTTCACAGTGGTTACTAAATACTGATTCAAACCATACAGCATATATTTTAGCTAATATCAGATTTCATCCAGGTATTCATTATATGGATGAACACAACTGAACCCAAAATTTACATTGCTAAGTGAGACAGAGGTTAAGTGAGTTTTGGCCCATTTTACAACCTTTCTAAGCCACAGTGGTTAAGTCAACCATTGTCTTTGCTCGTCAGAAGGCTGCAAAATGTGATCACATGACCCTGGGACATTGCAACTGTCATAAATACATGCCAGTTGCCAAGCATCTGTATTTTTAACCGCGTGACCATGGGCAATACTTTTAAGTGTGAAAAACGGTCATAGGTCCCTTTTTTAGTAACGCTGAACAGTCCCTAAAAGAATGGTTATAAGTTGAGGACTACAGCTGTTTGTGCTCTAGCTTTCAGTGGAACAAGAAACGTCTGCCATTTTGTCCCAAAATGTTCTCCCCCTGTTGTTAATTTTGAAATCCTTTCTTCGAGGAGACACAAGTGATGGTGAATTTTTATACTGGACTCCTTCCCTTGTCTTACCTGATATGCAGAGTGGCCATGGCAAAGTACCAGCTTCTTTTTTCCTCTAAAGGGATCTGAAATTGGGAGGAAGGGAGGGAGGGGGGAAGGACAAAAGAGTTTGATTAGGCACTGGTGGCTGAGTGATCACATTCCCCCAGTACCTGTCATAGGACATTATTTCATGAAATTAAAGATTGTAGTTGCTAGCCCTGTTCTTGCTCTAATCCATAAACCATATAATACAAAACTTAAAGTCCATCTCATTTGCTATAATTAATTCAATTCTAAAAATGAAGACCAAAACCAGTTCATCAGCTCTATTCAATGTTGAGTAGTAATGATTTGTCCGTCCTGTAAATCTACTGACATTAAAAAAAATTCAAAGTATATATTTAATGGGATTATAGAAGCAACATTAAAAAACACAGGTAGAAATTAAATGCTGCAAAAAAAATCAAAACAAAATTGAGAGGCAGAGAAAAAAACAGAAACAAAACCTGAACTTTCACGACTTGTGGACCTCAACTCCCAGAATTGGCTGAGGAATTTGGGGAGTCGAAGTCCACAAGTTGTAAAGTTGTCAAGGTTGGAGACCCCTGGTTTATACCATAGGCAAAGTCAAGATCCTTTCTTGTGGCTGAATATTCTCATGCCTATATGCAGTTAACAAATTCAGTAAAATCAGTCAGATGAATAATCTTCATTGAGAAAACATCCTTTTCTTGGAGACTATGCCAGTTTATACAAATGTGTCATCTTTAATAAACAACGTAATTGGTAATTGATTATAAATCCTAGGGTTACTTCACTAACAATTTTTATATAGGTGATATAGTTCAAAAGATCACAAATACAGCAAATCAAAAAAATTAGTTTTCATATTGCAGGAAAACTCAGGGTAAAGAACTATATTTTTATTGTATATGTCTGTAAGGCAACCACTTTAAAATATATTTATGAAGGTTATTTTGATGCCATTCTGTCTGTTTTCTCCACTGCCTAAGAACTTTGGATCCTGTACAATGGTATAAAATTAAACATAGACCATCCCTTTAGTGTAAATATTGTGCTATAACAAATAGTTACAGCTTAGCCTCCTGTCTTGTGTTGTGGCTCTTAGGAGCTGGGAGCATAAATTGAGCATTCAGAAGGAAATAACTTCAGGACAGTCTTAAATCAAGAAAATAAGAGTGACAAAAATAGCAAACAGCAACTACCTATCCCAGATCCTTGGGAAAGACTTGACAGGTGGAGAAAAAGTCCACATCAAATCTAAACTTCTGGCTGACTGTGTGACCAAACCACAATAATAATATATCATGAAACCTCAACATCTGCCTATCCCAGATCCTCAGGAAAGACTTGAGAGGTAGATAAAAATGCAAAATCCAGTCTAAAAATCTGGCTGGCTGTGTAACCAGAACAATGAAGATACTAATTAGAAAACTGAAAGTTAATATTGTTCAGGGCTATTCAGAAATGCCCTTGACATTCAATTTCAAATGTTTTAACCTATTAACCTAAATCCTTCCTGCCCTGATTATTTCTGGATGTTTCTTATAGCCATAAGAAAAGTGCCTATAAAATGCTCCAGCCAACCATGAAGAAATTAGTTACAGAGTCCTAAGGCTTATTTATTTTGTCTGTTTAACTCATGTATGATCAAAATTTGCTACAACATGATTTCATGATTAAATTATTGTAGACTGTGCAGAAAACACTAATCAACTCTACTTTATAAGCCACAATGGCTAGGTTCCTCACACAGAAGAACAGACTTACACAGAAGAACCTTAACAGAAGAACAGATAAAATTATGATTCTGTCAAAAAATCATGTTCTCATTATTACCCACTGGCACTGCCATTTTCACTTCCTCATGCAGGACTAGGAATTTTACTAGGGTGATCACAACAGTTCTGGCTCAAAGAAAAGATATGGCTTATAATGGAAAAAGCCTAAATGTTGTATTTACTGTAGTAAGCATAATTGTAGATGTACCGCCTGATCTAATAACTTTTAGCCAGAGACGGCAATAGCAAAGAGCTTTTTCTTGATGCTGGTGAAAGGTCATCTTATAAGACCAGCCTTTTCCCCAACATGGTGACCTTTACTTGTGTTGGTCTCTTCCAGCATGGTCAAATATTCATGGTGTCTAGGGATATCAATAGAGTCCAACATATTTAGAGAAATTACCCTGAGGAAGGCTATTAGGAATTTTCTCCGGGTACCATGTCATCCGGATCACAGAATGCTTTAAGAATCCACTTTGTCTCCTGCAAAATTCCTCCCACTCTTAGCTCTTAGTGTTTGGCACCAGCTTGAGTTTTATTCAGCGTACCAGTAGTCCTCGACTTAAAACCACAACTGAACCCAAAGTTTCCGTTGCAAAGTGAGACATTTGTTAAGGAAGAAGGTTGCAAAAGGGTATCACAAGACATCATAAATATGAGCCAAATATCAAGCATCTGAATGTAAACCATGTAAACCATGAGGATGCTGAAAAGGTTGTAAGTATGAAAGACGGTGCTTTTTTTCAGTGCCGCTGTAACTTTGAACAGTCACAAAATGTAAGTCAAGGACTACCTGTATGTGATAGAATTCCAGTCTCCCACTAAATACAAAGGACACAAAGATACGTGATAACTTATTTACCTGCTTTCCATAAGCCAGAGCCTTGCTGTAGAGAGTGAGACCTACAGTCAGTTTCTCCATCTTCTCCTCTTCGTTTGTTAGCCTGATATCAAAGGCATAAGCATAGCCCTGTTCAGCCAGGCAACGAGCTGCCCTGTCCTGGTGATTCCCCTGCAGCTTGTCTTCTGAATCCAAGCCCATTAAGTTGGAGAGCTGCTCAGTGCATTCAACCTCGTCTTGCTCCTGGCTCAGCCTGTCATAAATGTAGGCCAGGTTGGCCCAAGCGTTTAAGTTCTCAGGCTGTTCTTGAGTGATATGCAGAAAAATCTCCTTGGCTTGCTCCACTTCCTCCAGGTAAAAGGAAAATACCCCGAGAAGGTTTTGAATGGCATATTGCTGTGAGCCAGTTTCAAACTCCAACTCGTAAAGTAGACTTTCTCGTTTCAGCTTCAAGTCTCTCCCTTGGAAGCTGATTGGTGCAGATGTTTCAAAATTTAAATTCATATCTAGATGAAAGTGACCAGGAATGTAGTCCATCTCATCAATAAGAGTGTCAATGTCCACGGTGGTTTCTTCCATTTTCCCTGCTGGAAAGGCTTCTGACCAGTCCAGGAGTCTTCAATCAGCAACTTTCCAGGATTTCCTTTCTTTCTCTCCGTCTTTCAGATTTGTTTACCTTTCTGAATTCTCCACCCTCTTTTTTTTTTTTTTTTACACCAGTATTTCTGGTTTAGCTGCTGATTCACATGATGCCTGCAAAAGGAGGAGCCAGATTAAATGCCTCTTCTTCCTTAGTCAACTTGCTGCTTCGTATTCATCATTTGTTCAGTGAATCACCTAAAGTGGAAATCAATTCCAGTGGTCGATAGTTAGCAAGGCTGAAAACCAACCAAAGGAAAGAATGGAAATCAGGCATTCTGAATAAACCATAGTTATAAGTAAAA